GAGAAGAAGAAGAAGAAGGAGGAGGAGGAGGAGGAGGAGAAGAAAAAGAAGAAGAAGAAGAAGAATTACAGGTGTTTCACACCCGCATCAACGCTATTTGGACCATTAAGGGGGGCGAGCTGCTTAGACATTGTCGATCTGACTGACAAACAGACTGGCAGACAGACAGACAGACAGATAGATTGACAGACAGACAGACTGACAGAGAAAGAGACAGAAGCAGAGACAGGGGATAGATAGGTACTGAGACAGATACAGAGAAGATGATACATGGACAAAGAGAGCGAGAGAATATATATATTATACACATACCTTTTATGTATATATATATATGTGTGTGTGTGTGTGTGAGTGTGTTTGTTTGTATGCGTCTGTGCGTGCACACGGGTGTGTATGTGGGTGTGTCTGTATGTATGTGCGCTTGTTTGTGTTTGTGTGGAGAGAGAGAGAGAGAGAGAGAGAGAGAGAGAGAGAGAGAGAGAGAGAGAGAGAGAGAGAGAATAAAGCACAAGGATTGCCGCCGTCGTAGTTGTAAGTGGCTATCAGTACTTTACCTGAAAACGTTGACCCACAGCAGGAGTACTACAAGAGCACACCAAGTCCGATCACTCAACAGAGCTCGACGACATGACACTTTTGAGGGCGTTTCCATTTTTCCAGAGTTGACGTCATCTTTTCCTTTTAACATGTCTCCGTAACCAAGAGAACGTGCAATCTTGCATGTGGTTTTTGTGTTCACGATGCCGCATTTTTTCAAAATACTTTCATTTGTGCGGGGTTCGGAGATAAAACGTTCTCCTGTTTTGTTTTCGTTGTGGGAAAGTGAAGGCGCATTTTGTTTCTCAGCTTCTTCTACGAGAAACATGTGACCTCCGTGGGAAGAAGGAGATTGGCTGCTATCGCTGTGCGCCATCGATATTGCGGAGATTTTTGGATTACGTTTGACAAGGATCGTTTTTGTTGAATTTTTGTCTGGATTTCCATTCTGAAAAATCTGACCTTCCTGAGTTACGTTGTTATGTGTCACGTGATGTTGTTTTGGTTCAGTGGCTGTCCTGTGTTTTTTCTTTTCTTCTGTCCGATCGTTCTTGTGCTGGGAAAATATTTGGTAAATGAAACTTAGTGCTCGGTCATTTTTCTTCTTTTGTAGTGCACAACATGAAATTGATTTGGCATTTCTCGAACACATGGTATGAGTTTCATCTTTAAATAAGCAAATTTATACTTGTCAGCTCTTTTGGCCGGATAGAGCATGACAGGTAAGGATAACATCACCATTGAAAAACTAATTCCTATTAAGGGCTGGTGGGGCACCTGGAAATCTTGTTTTGAGGCTAAATTATGCAAATTGGGGTTGTTACATATAGTACCGTACCTGGACATTTCCTGAACAATATCCTGAAACGTATGTAAGCCTTGCTACACCCTAAGCTGTCTTTTTAGTCCTTGCGTTTCTGCGAAAACACATGTTTTCCAGTCGGTTCTTACCTTTATCGGCTGTTTTCTCACAATTCTATTTTTTCACACATTATCCCATTTTTCTGCCCTGTTTTTCTTCATTTTCAAAGTAACTTTCACAGGATGCCAACAACACCTAGTTCTAAATTTTGGCTCATTGAATGTTTGATTAATGGAGTAGTTTTTAATTTATGGGCTTAGAAAGCATGAATTTTCCATTATTTTCACTTTTTTGCAACAACCCAAATGTAAGTGTTATACAATAAAAACTAAAGCATATATCAAAAATGTAACAAGCCAAATTTAACAGCTATATATTTATTGTTAGCATTTCAAATTAAAAGTGAATCAGTTAATAAATAAGGGAATAAAATGGGATTGAAAAAGGTACCGGTATACAAAATCCAACAGGGCCGCCGTTTCCATAGCAACCGAGTCAAAATGTACTTTTTGAACTATGGGTTTCAAATCCCCAATCGCACACAATGTCCCACAGCAAATATGGGCACTCTAGGCCTTGAAACTGCCAAAATAGACCCCAGGTGCCCCACTAGCCCTTAAGAGCTGGGCCGATGATGAATAAATAGTTTCAAATTCTGCTGTCTGTATGCGAGGAAAGTGAGAAAGGGGTGTGTGCTATTCCCCGGTGCAGCCTAGAGTAGTTAGAGTATGCGAAACAAATAAAAAAGAAGAATGACTAAAAGTTAAAAATGTGAATTAAGAATGTGTATGAAGAATGTGAATTGAAATGGAGTCTCCTTTCTTCTTACGTCGCAGTATCATAGCATTTACAAACTACTCATAATCTTATAGGCTACGCATACCTAATAATGATGCGCCTGAGAACACTACAAAGGCACCAAAAAAGTAGCATGGGACTCCCACAAAAAATGTATCTGTAAAAAGTACACAAATATGCCTTTGCCTGTTGCCCCATTCAAAAGAAACCTCACATGATAATTGTCAAAACCTACTGTTTTTGTTCTCTACTAAAATCTTTAAAAAATTTTAAAACCATTTTCTCTCTCCCCCCCCCTCACCTTTCGGACCTTGTTGTTGCAAAAAGCAATGATACCCGGACTCGGTCCATTGATAAGTAGATTACCGAAAATTAATTATACTACTGATAGGGTCCTGTCGTTAATTTAATCTCTTAGCAGATTGTTGTGTGCTGCAGCTCCGCCCTGTGGTTGTTGGAGCAGAGTACACCATGGGGAGGGAACCCGAGTACAATTGCTGAGTGCGGAGAATTTTTCTAGAGCATCTCGGTCTTTCAGCTGAGATGTTGCATTCCTCTCAGCTTGGGTTGGCCCTGACAGGCAGGATCTGTAGCCCGCTTCCTAAATGATCTAATTTGCATCGATAGAGGCGTAAAGACAATGAGACAGAGAGGCGCCAGTTGAAGTTTTTTTCATATTATATCGTTCTCAAAATATTATCATGTTATACTGAAAACAAACAATCTTCTCACCATCCCCTCCTCATAAACTTTTTTTAAATTGCCCTTTTGTAAATGTTATATATGTTTACCTGTCCAGAATGGACAAAACTATTGATTTCTACTCTCCAGAAGTATAACCTCGTCGCTTAATTCGTTCTTATGTCGCATTTAAAACTTTTTGACCAAAATACTTCATGCTTACCTCTATCATCGTCAGTTGGGGCAACAATGACGACTTGACTAGCAGCTACCCTGTCCCCGTGCCTCCCTGTCTCTCCCCCCCTCTCTCTCTTCCTCTCTCTCTCTCTCTCTCTCTCACTCTCTCTCTCCCTCTCACTCTCTCTCTCTCTCTCTCTCTCTCTCTCTCTCTCTCTCTCTCTGTCTCTCTCTCTCTCTGTCAGTGCTTCGTTTAGTTTCTGGTCTAACTATTCTGCGACACTGTCCTCCTGTATCTTCCCTTTACCTCAAAGTAAAACTTAGCAATTCACCGCTCTTATCTAGACCTTACATTAAGACTTCTCTGGAACACACGTTGCTAATTAGTTAAGAGAATGCGCTAAAATATAACCCCAGCCCTCACCAACTGTTATAATATTCTTCCTCTACTTGCAAACATATTTGCTCAAGTCATGCCATGAAGTGTTACAAAGTAAGAAGAAGGACGTTATTTGCTGTATAATTGTTTATTCTATATAATCTTTCCTATCGATAAAATGCTGTCGTTTAATCTTATGGAGCGGGCTGTTTCGATCTGGCATATCATGGTCAGTTTGGGCAGTGTGGGACACATCGGAGTAAAAATTAAGGTAAGTTCAACAGCTTAATTTCTCTTTGAGCGAATCGAACTTAAGTCTGCCCAAACGTCAGTACGGATAGGTAAATTAACTGAATGGAAAACATACAGGAGTCCCAAACCACCGACATAGAATTCCGTTGTAGTTTTAGTATTAGAGTTTTATTTTACGGCATTTGCAACACATGTAGGTTATATAGGTACCGACGATTAAAAGTGTTCCTTGAGAGTAACATATAAAGAAAGACAGAGGAAGGATACGGATGGTAGATGGTTGATACGAAAGAAGGAGTAAACCACAAGAGAGCAGCCTCAAACCACCCACATTAATTCCTCAAGCCGTAAAACCCTATACTACATACTACAAACGTCGTAAGTTAAGCGTTAAGCTAACAACTTACCCATGAATCATAGTAGTTGCACTCGTGGTAACCTCCAAATATCCGCATACTTTTGAGTAACGGGTTCAAAGCTCTTTTAACACAACCACCATGAAAAGGTTCAGGTGGGTGCTCCCAAACGTATTCGAGAAGTTCTTTGGCGTCCATAGTGGCGCTCCCAGGCGGAGTCGATGACACAATAGTTCTGCAAAGTAGGTCAAGACCCCAACTTATCAAATCGTCTTAGAAATTATGTTTATTTTATAATAGTTAGACTGGGAGGCTTTTTTCGAAATAGAAAAGGGAGGGGGCACTATGGACATGTGGTGTCGAGTTACCGAGTTCTCCAAAAGAAAAAAAACCTTCTGTTTTCTCCTAAATGATAAAGCATGGAAATCTTTAATTAAAATATCAAATGAAGAAATCTCTCAAACCATCAATTTCCGAGGATTCTCATGCAAATGTACAGGGTATCTCTCAGTCATCTCTGAACTAATTTCAACAAAAAATTTTGATTTAAAAATTCAGCTAGGAGGACACTGGGTTTGCACATATGAAGAAAATCTGTCAGCGTTTTCGAGCAACATCAAGTTTTCAACAGTTCAACCAAAATTGGTTAAATCGCAGAACTTTACTTTTTAAAAGCATTCAGCTACAGGAGCGTGATCAGTTCTGGTTTCAGGACAAGGACGGTGAAACCACGACAGTCACATCAGATGGATATTTCACTGTATAAGAAAAATATGTAGAAGTTTTGCGAGGAGGATGTGTTAGCTGAAGAGGCCTGGTCCCAGGTAGATGGGGCCATACCCCTTAAGAACAACCTTTGGTGGTTGTAAGAAATGTATAGGGAACACAATATGAGCCGAACGTTTACAAATGAATGGTCACCACATTCCCACCAACTTCAGTCCCTTCAATTATTATCTTTGGAGATTTTTATGGACAGAGTCTACGAAAAAAACCAATCAAACAATCGAATAGTTGAAACTTATTGTTGAACATGACATCCAAAGAATCGACCCTGAAACATGCCAAGGGTTTATTCAAAATATCCAGTGGCACATTCCAGCTTATAGAGTGAGTAAAGGTCCCCACCTGGAGATTTAGATAGCCGTCACCTCCCCGAGTTTATTTGGCAACATCAATTGTGTATAAATGCATTCTTCACTGCACAAACAATGAGTATTTGAAATGGGGTAAATGGTTGATTTTTAAGAAGTTGCGAAGTTTTACGTTTCACTCAATTTTGGTTGCAATTTTAAAAACGTAATATTTTTCAAACATGTTAATTGATTCTTTTCATAATAACAAATAAAATGTCCTCCTGTTTGAATTTCCTTTTGAAATTTTCTTGAAATTGGTCAAAAGTTGACTGAGTAATTGCCCTTTGTGCTCTTTTTTCTTAGACACCCTGTACATCATAAGATCTACGGCAGTTTTCAGTCTTGGCATTTAACTGTAATTAAGATGAAAATGAACAGATGGAAACGTCTTCAAAAATTATCTTTCATGCCAACGTTGAAGCATAGCCATTTGTGACCTGTTAAAAACTGAAATGGTAGTTGGTGACAGCAAGAGAAACGACCTGCTATATTTCAAAACAATTCTCAAGTTATAAGACTAAGAACTTCAGTTCGTTCTAATAAAAAAGTGTAAAAACTTATTATTTAAAAGACTCAACAATCTAAAGTTCAAGAATAATACATTCAAAAAAGATAATTAAATGGTGAACAAGGCGAAGGCAAGATTAGACACATTATTAGCTTACCCAAACAAAGGTACCGAATATCCTGAGAACACTTGCTGACTTTGCAAAGCAGAAGAATGTTGTACTAAATATATCTAAAGTTAACAGTTGCTATTAAGGCATTATGAAATGTATGCCAGTTACACACGTCTACTCTTTTGAGATTGTGCTTCAGGGTCTCTGATGTAAGTCTGCTCCCTACAGTACCGCAAAACAGTATACGCACTGGCATTTTGTAGCATAAATATTGCTAGACTGGCGTTTTAAAGCTACTCGTAGACACTACTCAAAAGGTTGCAAGTTCAGAGGAGGTAATCCACCACGCAATTGAAACATTTTAGAAAGGTATTTGAAGTAAGATATGTCTCCCACAGCTACAGGTCGCCTGGTCCCAAATCCATCAATTAAACTGAGTAATCAATATATGATGACTGTTCACTGTTGAACATAGCCAGGACGAGAGAGCCCTCACAGCTCTCTCTCTCTCTCTCTCTCTCTCTC